CATTATTAAAATTATCTACTTATTGCATTAATCAAAATTTACGAAGAATATATATATATTCACATGCGGAGAAAAGCTGCGTGGATCTAGACAAAGACTAAAATAAACTTGATGGCCTAGTCATATCCGTCCTAACTGTAGATGATCATTAATTTTGATCTCTGTGACCTAGATGAAATGCATGGGCACATAAGCATATACACAGATATATATATATATATATATATATGTAATTCATATTATGTGGTTAAAATAACGACATTCACTGCTAAAACCACATCAATATAGAACGAATTCGTCTATATATTTTTATGTGTCACAACTAGTTTTCTCACATATATAATGTTGCTTGTGATTGGCTTAGTTTTTTTCTAGATTTAATCATAATTCACATGTTAATTCTTCAACTTGACAGTTCTATATATTATTTGTTAAAACTCGTTAATGATTATAACTAATGAATTTTTCTATTATAGATATATAAATTAGTAAAATGACTAGTGCTTGATAAATTAGCTAGACCTCTAGTACTCTTATAGCTAGTAGTTTTTGACGTACGTGGTTAAGTATGATTGCCGTGTGGACTCATGTGGGACTACTATGGAACGTGTTTATCAGTTTGAGTTTCCTTCTCTCAAAAGAATATGCTTTTGGAAGAAAATGGAAGGTACAAGAAAATATTCCCTTTTTTTTTTTTTTTTTTCCCTTCTAAGAAGATCCGAAACATGTTTGCGATCTTTTAGATAATCAAGTATACCAACATTGATTTAACCCATAAAACAGTACAAGAGATCATTATTCATGAGGACACGTTATGACAAAGCTTATTAATACATGTACTTAAGTATAATCAGAGTCATTTTATTAATTTCCAAATGAAAGGAAACTAAAAAATGATGTCGTTTTCCACGTTGTCATCTTTGTATATTATTCTTATCTCTAGTAGGTTTACATGAAAACCTTAAACAACACCCGTCAAAAATAGCCACTTTCTACAGTTAGTTTGATCTTTTCTATACCAACCGTGTATAATCAATCATCTCATCAGTTCTATTGATCTAGTACTTAATAATAATGATAACAACTCTTATAATAATATTAAGCAGTGAGAAAGATTGAAACTTCCTTCTGACATATAATTAATTAAGGTTTTTGTAATATGGTAAACGTTAAAATCGCAAACAACTTCCTTCTGATATATATAAAAAAGTCTTGAAAGTATTTATCATTCACTAGCTAGGATGATATTTTAAAAAAATAATAGATAATGTTTTGATTTCTAACTTTCTTGTTTTAATATACGTCCAACGTCATTTGTTCTTACTTATATTGTGCGTGTTCAAATTATCTAGATGCTCTAATCATGGTTAAAAAAAATGTGGGGAATAATAGTCTAAGCCAAGGCGGTTTAACCATAAACACTACTTCATGCAAAATATGACTAGAACGCAAGAAATTAGAGAAAGAAAATATATTCGAGTAAATATTGGTGTGAAACAAGTAAAAATAATTAATTAATTAATAGACCACTAGAAAATAATAAAGCAAGTTAACCTTATAAAAATAAATAAATATATAATAAACCATGTTATCACAATATCACGTCCAAGTCTCACAGCAGAAGAAATTATCCGGTTCTGTCCAGATCAGACCACAGTTTGTGGATAATGCAGTGATAAAATATGAGGCTTTCATTATTTGTTATTTAATTTCTTTTCACAGGCGACAAATTTGATTCCTCCTCCTTTTTTCCCGTTTTCTATGGCGTTGGAATTGTGTGGATGATCATGAAAGGATATATGGAAGGTATAAAAGCTTTTTTAAAACGACAAGAACAGGTAAAGGAGAAGATTTTTTTTTTTTTTTGGGTGGAAATAGACAAAAAAGAAAAAGTAATTAAACAAGAAATAATGGTTTAGGTTATATTTTATCTCCGGTAATAGCAAACATGATCACATATTACAATCGTCACATTCAACTAAAAATGAGTAACCAATTAATCTTAGAATTTATAAGAAATCATACTCCATTTTTATGTGTATGTACATTCTAGGTCTTTCGTGTAATGAGTAAGAGAATACATATTTTTCTTATTTTCATTTCTTAAAGTCGAAGCTGGTCGATCACGTCTTTTTCATATGCATAGTTGGAAGGGTTAATACTCTATTAACAGTTTGACCAAATGTATATTGTCGGTTACTTGTAGAGCATTAATATTATTTTCTACCACTAATGGCGGTAACTGAGAAAGTAGCAAATTAATCATAACAACAAAATTCCGGATCAATCTTCAAACATGTATAGACAATATCAGTAATATAATATTAACCTAATTGCCATAGGCCAATATTTTTCTATACATTATCTAGATCTGTGAAAATTGGAAATTAGCTTCCACTATATCTGATAAGGTGACAAGTGACAACTTTTACCAGAAAGTTCTTTTGATGCAGTTTTTTGTAGCTGAGTTAGGTCCAGCATGTGACTCGGGATATATATATATATATATATGTGTATATATATATATATTCCAATAATAGAATTATTTGTTTCAACATATAAAATTTGCAAGACACGTTTGATTAATATAGAAATGAGTAACGATAAGGAAAAAAAAATGAAAAGAATATTAGAGGAGGCCCACCTACTAAAGATGCTGCTAGTCTTTGAATATACCCCCAAACTAGGGTTATGGAAATTGTGAAATCGACAAATTAATGTTGACAGCGAAACCTCATTTCCTAGCTATATAGGATACAACAATACACAACATATGATCTTTTTTTTTTTTCCCTTCTCTCCTAACTTTCTGGTCCCATTCTTTTATTCTTGAAGTTTCCACTAGAATTGAATCAATATTGTCCGTCTTTCTTGATGAGGGAGAGAGGAAAAAAAATTAAGTACGTAGTAATTCATTATAAATATATATATGATGTTTTACATATGTAATATGTAAAAATAAAAGATGTAACATAACAGTCATTTAATATAATATCAACATTAGATGTAACATGATAGTAATTGAACATAATATTAATTATGTTACGCCTAATACCTTCCGTGACTGTCATATATTACATTAGATGAACATGTGTATGTGTATATAAATCAATTACTAGTATAGTTCACATGAATCGAATGCGAAAATTTGAGTTGTGTATGTGAGAGAAAAACGCTGTAGTAAAAAAGTTGATTTTAAATTTTTATATAAAAAAAATACTGTAATAATAGAACTTAAATTGTGACTTGAGTTACGAAAAAAACCATCTAAATGTTCTATATCCTTACGCGCCCTTAGCAATACTTTGGAAATGAACATGTACACCTGTTTAATTTTGTGGCTACAGATAATAACATATCAACGTGACTACAAGTTCTTTTCAATCTCTCAAACGCGTTTATTTTTATTTGAAGTTCACGTACTTGGATTATTGTTGTACTAGAAATATTTGTCGGTCCGTTCTTTTCGCTGATTCAAATTTAAAATTTGAGATTGACTACAGTAAAAAATTTTAAAAATTAAACACATTTAATTTTTTTATTATAATAAAAAACTCTCACATAATATTATATCTTAATTTAAATTAAAAATTTAAATTAAAGAACCGGGCTCGTCTTCCTTCAATGATTGAAGCCCCCCAATGACCAAAATGCCCTAGTTTCAGGTCTACCCAACTTATTGAACCTCAAAATGACAATAATACCCTTAACTTTCGACCATATTTACCACATTCGGCAGTATAGTGTTTGTCCGTGTGTGGTCCCACGTCCCATACTGAGCCAAAAACCATTGACAAGGCGCCGCGTATTCATGACAATCCCAATCTAATCTACTACCTATTTATGATTGACCTATATTTTTTTCGTACAAATAATGTGTGTTTGGTAAGAGACAAGTAGGCCTTCTCATCGGATAAACCAAACACATCAACCTCCCATATTCAGCCACGTTGCGCTATTGATGATATTGGACTTTGGAATAACAATTTCACCTGTGTGTGGCCCCCACTACTCACAAGATCAGGATAAAACGCACGTGTGCGTTTGTTATAATTGTTGGTGTTTTCAATTGTTTCTAGGATTATTTTGGCAAAACTCGTTTTTAGGGTCTCGTTCGTTTCGCTGATTCGAGTTTAGAATTTAAATTTTATTATAGTAAAAAGTTCTCACAAATAGTCACATCTAACTTTTTTATTACAGTAAAAAACTCTCACATAAAATCACATCTCAACTCGAATTCTAAACTCGAATCAGCAAAACGAACGAGGCCCTCTACGCGCCTTTTAAAATAAAAAAACAAAAACGTTTTTCTAAATAGCATTTGATTAGTAAACATTTTAAAAACGAGAATTAAAAAAAAAAAATTGTGAGTGATTTTCATTGAGAAAATTAAAAATAAATCTAAAGTTATGTTCATAATTTCATTTTCGTTACAATTTAACACACATTCTCATTAGTCATAAACATGGTCACACATATTTTCATTTTTTTCATTATTTCATACTGAAAATACTTTATCAGAAGCTAACAAAATGGAATTTTAAAAAGCAATACCATTCCCATACAATTCTCATTTTCATTGAAACAAAACCAGTTTGAAAACACTAGTCAATAACAATTTTGTCCTTCCCTTCACATTGTAATTTTAGGTATTTATTAACCGCAAAAAAGTGCCCAAAAAAAAAAAAGGAAAAAAAGGAAAGAAGAACACTGAATATTCGAGTATATCCATTATCCAGATAGAGGTAGTAGTAGTGTTCGAAATTATTGGACCTTGACTGACGTGGATCCTTGCTGTCCGATCCAAGATCCACCAAAAAACACAAAACAGCTTCGACACACAACACCCAATGGAATCACGCCACGTGGAGTTAAAACCACATCCCATGTGCGCGGCGGGCTGTACAAGGCACGTTGGCAAGTGGGTCCCAGAAAGCTGATCCAATAGTTGGTATAAGAAAGCTCCAAAAGTCTTCACATGGTCCATACTCACATCCAGATTCATTCTTTTCTTTCAGTACAAATTCACGCCTTTGGTGTTGTTCTTTATTAGCCCTTTAAATACTAGAGCTGATCAAGCTTTTTTTTATCAGCCATGGCTAACCCTAGACTAATTCTGGTGAGTCCTCCTCAAGGATCATCAAAGCGTGATGATCAAGACGACGAGGTCATGATGAATCAGAGCTTCTCCGACATGCTCTTCGGCTTCCTTGACGACGTCGATGTTCATGATCATGATCGTCAGGGAATTATAATATCGCCGGAATCGGAAAGTTACAGAAGCAGTGACAATGAAAACCCAGATGATGAAATGGTTGATCAAGATCAGGAAGAACATGAAGAAGAGAAAGATAACAGGTTTTGGGAGAATCAGCACCAACTTCTGCAGGTAATAATCCATATGCATAATGTATAATATTAGAGACATTTAGGCCCGTTTAGCTCGCTTATTTAAATTTTTAATTTGAATTGATATGTAATTTTATGTGAGAATTAATAAAAAAGTTAGATGTGATTTCATGTGAGAATTAACAAAAAAAACTTAAATGTGATAATTTTTTAAAGTTTTTTATTATAATAAAA